CGAGCGAAAATGAATGAAAGCAAACCGAGTGGCGAAAAGAACTTTGTCGACAATATACGAACTTTTTGAGTCTTGCTTCATCGTTAAAAAAAAGAGACGAAGTGATAGACGTGTTGATAAAAAAAGATGAAAAACGTGTAAAGAAGGGAAAAGAGACGAAAAATGTGTAGAGTAGTTGTGAAATGTATGTGAGGTCACAAACTGAACATTCTTGTAGTTTCACTTCTCACGTACAATAGATATAAATTCGAAGTGTCGAAGTTAAAGTCATATATATACTCTTTTTTCTTCGGTTCTCCAATGATAACGAAAAAAATAAGGAGCAGAAGAATAAGAGGAAAGAGAAGATAAAAACAGCCAAAACGACTTCTTCATTGATTGTCTGTGCGCCATTCGACTTTCCGGTATGTAAGCTCAAATGAGCAAAAATGTCAAAACTATTCGAACAAAGTATTTTAACGTTGGTAACGCACGTATGGCTAAAGACGCCACATAAAAATCTGATAAATTTTCATTATTGAAATGACAAATAGATAATAGTTTGCACGTTTCGAATCTTATTATTGAACATCGTCTTACACCATTAGTTCCCGATCACTTGATCTAATAATATGATGTGAGCAAAATGCAAGTGAATGGTGTGTGTGTGAGTGTGTGTGTGGCTTATTGTGCTTTCATATCTCTTGAATCCAATTTTGTTTTTGCTGTAAGCAGAAAAGCCGAGCTTGTTCGACAAATTTCAATGACATCAATATCGTCAAAGTCGGTTCACACATTTGACACACGGATGTGTGTTGGTGCTAACTACGACAGTGGCGTAGGTGGCTAAAATGGCTGGATACGATTGATTAGAATCATGCAATTGAGCATCGTCAAATAAAAAATGTAAAGAATTTCGGTGTTTATTGATGGCAATTTCCGTCGATCGAAATTATGCTGACAAATATTATATGGACTTGATGATATTTGCTTTGTTCTCTCTCACGCACACACACACACACATGGTCCATTCCATGGGAGTGATTTGTCGGAATGAAAATAGCTAAGAATGACTTCAATCATGTTATCATGTTACCGAGCTATTGATGAAGTGATTGGTATAGGTGTAGGTGGTGCCTGAACACCGCTTCGTATCGCACTTCATGAAATATGTAGCAATTTCCACTTAAATGCCACGAATTGCTAAATGCTGCCAAATCAAATAGTGTTTCACTGCACAATAAATTCATTCATTTTGTCATTGCGCAAAAATTTCGTACGTGCAAAAAAAAGCACGAAACGAACGAGAGAGGGAGAAGAACAGACTAGCGCACCAAGAACACAACGAAATACAGACACAAAAGAAACGACGAGAAAATGAAATTGTTCCCTTGAAAATAATTTCAATCGACGTGATTTTCAGTGCAATTCTCGGCATTTTCTCATTGCAAATCGAATATTTACAGCGGTGTCAGCGAAAGGGAAGTAGTGAAAGAGAAAAAAAAAACAAGAGAGAGAGAGAGAAATACGAATAGAAACGAGAAAACGGAATGAAAAAAGAGAAAAATCGAGAGTGAAATGTTGTAAAAAAAATGTGTTGAACGAATCGAAAGATCAAATAAACGGCAAAGAGTAATCGGTTTGATGAGTTTGGCACAGATGCTCCACTTAACGAACTATTAATACAGCAGCGAAAAAAGCCACATACATAAAACTTGAGCTAAAACTCTAGGGGAATCCGTGCATGGATAGATTGTGCTTAAATTGAGTCACCGTGTTATAATCGCTGGCATGTGACAGTTTTGCCACCAAACACGAAACGAACCGAAAGAAGAAGCAAACCATTTGTAGACACTTGGCGCTAAGCAGATGCCATTCGGTATTCGGGTGTAGTTTTTATTTGCGTGCATTCGGCATATTCATCTAATCAAATAGTTTTTGTGCACGCTTTTTTCGCCCACAAAGCAAATGAAAACACAAGAAACTTATTAAATATCTCGACCTGCATGTGTATACAAAAGAAAAGGCATACACAAGCGAACACACACACACACACACATACACAACTTGAAATGTATGGTTTCTGCAATGTCATTGAATCCCCCAGTCACTTCAATTCCGAGCTCGTATTTGGGGCTTCATTTGGCCGCTTGGATAATGTCTTCATATATGCTTTTGGATTTTGTTACCGCTTACCGCCCTTTTTTCGTTTCGTAAGCACAGACATTATTAACCTCGTACAGCAGCAGCCGCAGCAGCGGAAAAAAAAAACAAATATCCATTTACGTAAATTATCTCCATTCAATATTTATACGGTTACACCATTCAGTAAGAATAATAAAACTGTTCTGATTACAATTTTCCTACGTGATTTCGCGATGAATATGGCTCCGTTGTGTGTTGGTTTGTGTGTGTATGTGCTATTACCCTTTCCGTGCCATTTCGATTTTCATCGTCGAAAAAGTCGTAATGCAGCACCGAATTTTGCATACAGAATTCGTGCCAACATTCTCACCGACACCCCGACAAGTAAATGGACTCTCTCTTTCTCTCGCATGTACAAACGGCTGATTTTCCAGATTAAAGTCAAACATGTCGAGAATCTCATTTTTCCACCGCTAGTTCGTTGGTTTTTTTCCCCGTTTCATAGGATGAAGTTCATAACAACCGATATTACTTTGTTGCCAGCCAAACAATTCTCTTGCGTTACTTGATGCGAATTATAAATCAAAATTGTGCACCGTTTCCTTTGCTATGGTTTTCTCTTCGTCTTTTTGCTTGAAACACGTCTCTTAACCTCTTTATTGTAGTTTGGAAAAGTTTTCTTACTCTTTGTGTGTGAGTGTGAGTGTGAGTATTGGAATTATCACCTAAACGATGAGCGATGAAAAATGATTGTGTTTTTTTTCTTTGTTTTAACAAGTGAAAACCTTGACCTTGAGCTCAAAATGAATCGCTCAATTTTCTTGGGCTAAATCGAAACAAATGTCTTCTTGGTTTATGAGCTCCTGTATTTTTCGCTTACTCGCTCGCTTACTCCATTTCGCTTTCATTCTCTCGCCCGCTATCTCTCTCGCTCTGTACATTTTGTACATATTATTCAATTTATTGCTGACATCATTTTCTTTTCACTGCTTTTCGCTTGGCATGAAATGCGTTCGGCAAACGCGACACACTCGTGGCACTGCACCAATCCATCTGTGCGGCAAACGCCTGGTGTGTTTTTGCGGTTTATACGCTCACAAAATCCAACCATGTTTACCCAAAAGACCTTATTTTCAATATGTGTGATATCATGGAGACATCACATGCACATCCTGTGTCGCTGCTTAACACTTTGTCTTCAACATTGTTTCGCCATTGCACCAACATAATTGTTATTTCATACTTTTTTTCACTCTTCTGTTTATTCATGTTTTTTGCCTCTTTCAAGAATTTGAACTAATTCCAGTTGCAGTTCTGGGCGACAGACACTGTGACTCGACCGTTGTATAATGCATTTCCGTTGGCAAAACGTGGCACATTCGACCGGAATGCCTTTTTTGTGTCTCTCATCACATAAATGTAAACAATTATGTAGAAGACAAATGCAAAGAACACTAATTCTAAAAATTCAGCGGTATTTTTCATAGCAAATATCGTCGCGCATTTCTTCAGCATTTCTGACAAAAATAAACAGTTTAGATAAAAAGAATAACCAAAGTAGAAAAGAAAAGAATCTGCAAAAACAACCTAACAAAAGCAAATTCAAAGGTAAAATATAAACAAAATTTGCGTCGAGATTCACTGGAGATGCACCATCGAGTGATATTCCCATCACAAGCTTCAACCATAAAATACATGGTTTTGAACTATAGAGAAACAGAGATCGTTTTGCAAGGCGAATATTTCCGATAAGAAGGTGTAAAATAGCGATAGATACACACTCATGCATAAACACACAAGTCTTTAAGCAGATTTGGGTGAAAACTCTACAGTTTCAATGTGCCCATGTCTTTGCTTCGCATCTTTCTTTTTTCTCGTTCAAAATATCTCTTGTGTTGTGGAGCTGTCGGAAACATGGTTTCCGTGAGAAAAGCAAATAAGTCACTATAGTTGATATAGTTAGAGAAGAAAGAGAGCGCAGAAAAAAAGGAGTGAGTGGCAAAAATACGTGAGCAAAGCCACAATTGTATTCTCAAACTGGTTAAACAATTCTCTCTCTTGCATTGTGTCAGAGAGTGATATGTGTGGCAAACAATTGCAACGACGACGACAACAACAACAACAACAACAACGAAGAGCCATGTACAATAATGGCATCGAACAAAAAAGTTCGTTGGGGTTGCGTTTGAATTAATGCATTTTGTATCGCTGAACTCGAATTTGTTTCGCTGCTGCCAAAAAAGCCAAACAAACACACAAACGAACATAATAAATGAGTAGCACCATTTACTCTACGATTTAATTCGCATAAATAATGAGCCAAGCGCGAAACCATGTTGGCGGTTCGTTCATTTTTCTTTCTCTCTCTTTCGGTGTCAGTGGGGGGGGGGCCCACTTTTCAACATTGCGCGTCTGTTCTTCTTGCGGAAACAAATGTTGGCATATTGTCAAATGAAATATATAAAATGGCATTTGTTTGTTTATTTTCGCTTCGAAAATTGAGTGCTACTCGTTTGCACCGAACAAATACTGCACCGAATTTAAGCTTTTAATTGGAATCATTCCATTTGAAAGTAATTACTTTTCTTTGTGTTTTTTTTTCGTGTAAATTCAAGACTCGACTTACGAGTCACGTCAATTCATTTGCTTTTCATTAGGCAATGATATTTATTTTATTTTTGAAAATATAGTATTGCGTGACTCAGCATATGCTGCACTGAAATGTTTCCGGTATCCTATTTTCCAGGCCATTGATACATAAAATGCAGTTCTTGTTTCGAATTGATATAAAATGTAAATTTTTGCAGCTGCTATTGTGAATGAAAATAAAATTTTCATGTTTTTTTTCTCTCCATTCGTTTTTTTTTTTTTTGCAGTGACTGGCGACGAACAACAAATACGTCGTCACTGACAGCACCCAAACTTAAACGGCAAGCGTGGCGCACCAAACAGAAGGTTTTATCATAGGCTCGTTGAGCCTGTGCAATGCATGCCAACGTAACTTCAGATCGTGGAGGTGGTAGCGGTGGAGGATCATGGCGTCTGCCCCCAGACGAAACACTTCAAGTATCAGATCCAAAAGAAAAACTAGACGTAAGTATCGTTCGTTTGGACGATAAGTTTTGGAAAGTCAAGCGCATGACCAAAGAATGTTTTTAGTGTTTTCGATTAGGGAGAATCATTTAAGTTTCTCTGAAAATTTTACCAATTTTTAAAACTAGAATAATTCTGATCATATGACAAAAGAGCAATAAAAGCAATCATTTTAAATGCAATATATTTGTGTTCGCAATATTTCTCTCGAATTCAAAACCACGATGTTTAAATTTCACATTGCAGGAACTCGATTATGGCGAAACACACAACTGGAAGAGTATAATATTTTCATTATTAGTCATCGGCTTTGTGATAGCTGGCATCGTGACTGCAATATACCTTTTAGGGTGAGTTTTAAACTAAATGCCATTTCACAATGTCTCTGTAGAGAGAGAATTTCAGGGGAATAATTCGTCAGTATTCGAATTCATGAAAATTCATTCAAAATTTGCGCTTTGTTCACCCATTCAATTGCCATATTTTCTGCCCGCAGATATGTAGACGAGCTGCTGTACTGGTCCGGTCGTCGAATGTTTTTAGATGAATATTTGCAAGGCGAATTGTCACCGAATCGTTTGCCACCAACATGGGTGTCACGTACCAAATTCGTATTTCAATCGGACGATGGCGGTCTGGCCGTTTACGAAACGACAAATAACTCCGTTAAATCACTTGTTACAAACCACACGCTGGTGAGTGTTGTGAACATGCAGCTTTTGAAGCCATGCGATCTTATTTTAAAATGGCCATTTCAATGAGAACTAAACTGTGTGTTTTTTTTCGTTGTAATTTTCTGCCTTACAGCGCCAGCTTAACATTAAGGGATATCAGTGTTCAACAAATCTGGAATTTGTTCTGTTTAAACACAACGTAAAGAGCGTAAGTGACGTCACATTTTTTTATACGAATGATGGTACTCGTTTTCGAAAAATCCTGAATCTCCAAATGGAAAATCCCAAACTGTTGCATCTCTGGATCACAATTTATTTATCTCGGAATCATCGATTGTTCTATCTCTCTCTTCATCTAGTCTTGTTTTATTCCACGAACCCCACAGCATTAAATGGAATATACAATGAAATAGATAAGGTTATTTATTTTTCAGTAACGCGCTCATTTGAATTTGTATTATTTATTTGTGTGTTGTTTTGTGGTTTTTAACTTTTTGCCCTGGCCCATTCGCTTCCCTCTCTCGCTTCCCTCTCTCTATATTCATTCGGAATGTATACTTTTAATTAAAAAATAATTAGGGAGTTTGTAGTCGAGCTTTTTCGCAATTTATCTCTCACATAATTTATTTTTAATCAGGCAATAGGATCGTTATTGTTTCAGTCGTTGATTCGTTTGTGCGTTTGGTTGTGTTGGTTGGCTCATTGCCGTGCATTTGGCAATGGGCAGCAGCTTCGTGCTTCGCTCGGTTCGCGCGCATTGTCATACACAAACGGAATATTTTATCTCTATATTTTAAAATGTAAGAGGTTGCCAAAAATTTATGGGTCGCTCGGCCCAAACATTGCATGCTGTTGTACGTCATTTACTTCAAAAGTTCTAGGTTAAACACGAAAAAAATGAACATTTTCTTATCCAGCGCCCCAAAAGCAAGCCAAACAAATGCCATTTGGAAAAAAATAATAATGATACCACAACAACAATGAGAGCCGACAAAAAAACACACACACACAGCAATCATGCACATCGCAACAAAATTATTCGTTCGCCTTTGTTGTTGTTGTACACCATTCACTCGCTTAGTTTACGCCAAAAAAGGACAAAAGCGGGCGCGCACGCTCATTTCAGGAAATTTCAACTCTCGAAGTTGGTTTCTTGAGAACAAAGCCCTCGGCCACTTTCATTTCAACGAGTGAACAGAAGAAAAAATGCGCACATAGTACCTATCTTATGTACAAATTTCGGGTGGCTTTTTCATTTTACACTTATCATCATCATTCGTAGCTCGTTGGTTGACGTGTATTTGATGCGTCAGCCATAGCCTGTGGCCACATCTTTGAATCGACGATTTACAGGCGAACGCTTATCTAATGGTTTATTGTTTATGTTTACATTTTATATGGAAATGTAGCCAAAGACAGCGAAAATGAGAGCAAGAGAAAACAAAGGCGAAAAAAATGAAGAAAAGGAATATTAATGAGCCTTAAGCTCTCCCTGTATTTGCTCGTCATTTGTTGTGCTTTAGCAAAGCTCGCGCATCTTTGAACAAACACACAACCGCTCACGCACAAATACGGACTGGCCAGCGGCAGCGACGGTGTAATTTCATCAGGCTGGACGGGCACTTAAAAATTTGACAATCTTAACTAAGCACCAAATGAACATAAAGAAATTAATGACGATCGAGCCGCAGAAATAATGATTGCGAGTTAAAAATCCGCACTTTTTCTCCATGTCGGACGGAGTGCGTGTTTGAGCGTGCACTTTTTTCTCTTCATTTCTTTGCTGAAAAACAAACACAATCTTCATAGAGGATTAGAGGATTAGAGAAATAGTGGAGTGTGAACAAAATGTACAATCATTTACGTCAACACGTTGTAGGGAGAAAAAAAAACGGTACATCACGCTTACGTTATGAGCGAGCGGATAAAGTGGCAAAACACCGGGCAATACGTATAAAATACGGCTGGTGTTAAGAAAATCGATACGCATTTAGCTTAATAAAACACAGTGAGAGTGATATTGAGTTCCTAGAAAAGTGGCAACATCTTGCGAAAATTAAGACCAAACGAATAGAAGAAGAGTGTCACAGAACAAACGACAATCGGTCGACGTCATCGTTTCTCAGGGAGCGCGTGTCGTACAATCGGCTCTCACTTTATCTTTTATTTGTGTTTATTGAATATCAAAGCCTGGCGTATTATAGCCGGGATTAATTTTAATTTGGACGCATAATTCTATGCTTCCACGTTGCTATTCATTAGAGAACAAGATATTAAAATTCTGCGCATTTTCACATTTCCATCCGCGTTGAGAGTATTTTATCCGAAAATAATTGATACATTTTTACTCGGCACGAAATTCGACGCATTTTGATTTGAAATTTAATCGGATTTAACTCGAGAAAAAATCGTTATACAATTTCCTTTTCAAGTATAGTCACGCCTTTTCCCTGAGCTGCTCTCTCTCACCTTTTTATTAAATTTACAAGTTGCTTTAGTTTTGCTGTACAATTATCATCCTCCAACAAGACTCTTTCGCTATTCGATGGTAGAACACTGCCTTTTTCTACTTCGGTAGTAGAATATTTTCTTTGGCCAACGACGATGACGTTTGGGAGAGAGAAACCAAATTCCGGTGCATTTTCGGCTTCACCACATTTGTCACATACACTCGTTCATGGTTTTTTTTTCTATTCTCTTGTTCCTTCTCGTTCAATGTGAACTTTCGCTTGTTTTGTCCGTCTCGAGCTTAAAAAAGATTTACCGTAACGACGACATAACGGCAGTATGACGCCGACACATATAAACACGAAACCCGAAAAATGTATTCTTCCGCAAAGAAGACATAGCTTTACAGTCCTCGCTCCAAAGGCATTTTACTCTAAATGAAACTTTATGTGAACATAACTTTGCCAGAAAAAAAAGTTTCTCCTTTTTTCGGTGGCTATTTCCCTCTGGTTGCTATCCTCGGCAAAATCTCTTTTTTTATTGGGTTCAAAGCATGGCCAAAAATGAGTGTATTTACTTTGCAACAAATAAAAACGAGCAGGATTTTTTAGTACTTGTAAAAGCTGGGCTTAATTGTTGATTAACTATGAAATTGCATTTTATATCTTCCCCCGCTATGTGCCTTTGATGAGCTTACTACTTTTCAAATGCAATCACCTTTTTTTTCTTCTTCTACTTCAAGAGAATACATGTATTCAACAGAAAAATATCCCGAAAAAATGCTATAAAAGAGCATTGTCTTGACTACAACGGTGGAAGAAACGGTATAATTGCGTTATATCTATGGTTTAATGTCGGTGTGCATTGTGCATTTCATCGGGCCATTTGTCTGTAAAAATGGCAAATTAATAATTTTCTCTAGATCACAAAGCAACGATTTATAATCTCATTCGGCGAAAAAAGCACACACACAGACACATTCCCACGGTACTGGTTCTCTATGACAAGAATTCAATATTTTATGTGCATAACTTGATTATGAAACGGTGGTGCTGTCGCTGCTTTCGCCTCACCACCACTCGAGACTACAACGAATGAGGTGAGAACAGCTGAAAAGGCGTCTGGAAAAAGAAATGTGTATGTGGATACGTGCATGTGGTTCGAGATGTGATCCAAACGCGCGGAATGTGGCTCGAGGACGATGCGAATTGCAAAAAATGAAGAGAACAAATGCACACAAACAGCAACTTTTTCCATTCAAATTGATTGCAACAATGTATTCGCCCAATTCATTACGCCTTTGTATCATTTGTTTCAACGGGCGCGTACGTGATGTTGCAGTTTCGACCCGCTCTTTTTCTCCATCCTATCTTCTTTCTCTTTCTCTCTCTCTCTCTCTCTCTCTCTCTCTCACTCTCACTCTCTCTCACTCTCACTCTCTCTCCCGCTCCCTCTCCGACTCATGTCGCGTATGGAGACTGAACTGCAGCGGGCATACGAACGTCAGCGTGTTAAGTAAATCGGGTTGTAAGTCATGCAACGAGACTCTATTTGTGCACGACGTTGTGCGGTGTATGAGCAGCTAGCAGTAATATCTCTTGCAATATAGAAAAGAATGTATGCCATTTTTATTGAGTTACTTACGTAACGGACCTTCTATCATGTCATTTTTTCCCCTTGCTCGTTAACACGATGAACCATTTTTATAAGTCAAACAGTCAAAACATCAATAACGGTGCTCTGGTCGATGTGTTATAAGAGAAACTAATGCAATTTAACGTTTTACTTTCGAAGTCACTGAACAGACATATACATTTGCCATTGAAAAAAAGAGAAAGACACAGAGAGAGAAAGAGAGCTCAGGAGATTCAAGTGATCAAAGGACACACGATTCGTCGAATTGGCTTTGTTCTATTTCAAGTGACCCGATTTTTTTTTGTGTCTTACTTTCTCTTTATGCTTTTTTGTCTTTTTTGGTTGCAATATTTGTTGGGTGTCATGAGCGAAACTCAGTGCACAGCATTTGCTAAGCTAATATCAAGGTTAGTGACCGTATGACCATGAGTATGCGTGTGTTTGGGCGTTTCGTATGTGTGTTGGCAATTTGACTCTTCAATTGAGCGACAATGTGCTAATTGCTCTAATGACAGATTTAAGTTTACGGTTGAAATAGGTTTTTAATTAAGATTAGCTCATCAGTTTGGCTCGTGAAATGCGAAACGTCAACTGCACAATTTCACTTTGATGTGTAATATCCGTGCGCGCGGTGTGTACATGCCTTCGATACACGCAATCTCATCCTTCGTACGCTCATTGGGATTCATGTTATTTTGGCGTTACACACACATTCACCGTGAAATGTGCGCGGCACGCGATGCAATCAAATAGTTGATTTGGAATGATGTTTATTTGGGGCGTCGTAATTTTGGCGATATATATTAAAAATAACTGTTTGCCCTTACGGATTAATTAATTTCACACGTTTTGGATCGACTGTAAACGTGAGCAATAAAAATGAAAAAAAGCGACGACGATCAAGACTGATGGTTGTTGTTAGTGGTGTTGAACATAAAATATTTATTTGGTAATATAAAGTATTTGCGTTCGACATCGATTGAGAGCGTAAGTCGTTTGACGGTTGAGGGGTTTTTGAGCCGAGGCGCACACGGCTGAAAATTCATCCGATTAAATATTTTATGTGGAAAATCTTAGACTAATCTCTGAACCGTATTGTACCGCTGAATCGCTCGGAAAATCCAT